CCCTGATGAAGCCAATAGAATCACATCATCTGCGAATAACAGAGATGCAATCCTAAGACCACCAAGACAGACCCCCTCAACACCTTGGCTGCGCCTAGAAATTCTGTCCATATAATTTATGAACAGGATCCGTGACAAAGGGCAACCTTGGCGGAGTCCAACCCTCACCGGAAACGAGTCCGTCTTACTGCCGGCAATGCAGACCAGGCTCTGACTGCTCAAACAAGACCCCACAGGGCCCCCCGAGGGACACGGTCGAATGCCTTCTACAGATCCACATGTAGACTGGTTGGGCAAACTCTCATGCACCCTCCAGGATCCTGCTGAGGGTGTAGAGCTGATCCAGTGTTCCACGGCCAGGACCAAAACCACACTGCTCCTCCTCAATGTCAGATTCGACTATCTTAAGACGAGAATAAAGTCGTAATGAGGATAGTCATAAAATTAAGAGAAGAAAAACGTAAAATTATTAGCATAAAGTCATAAAATTACAAAAAACAAGTTGTATTTTATGACAACTGCTAAAAGAAGCACTCTTTCCTAAATGAAGTTCTACTTTAGCATCGGTTTGACAAATCAGGAAATCTTTTAGCAGCAGCATCAAACTGGGCAGGATGTCAAAGTGGACTCTGGTTGCTGATTGGTGGAGCTGGTCGGCCGTCATCTGCTGGGCGGAGCTCCAAGCTTTCTTTCTGAACAGGTTGTTGTAGGACGACTTCATTCTTGTAATTTTACAACTTTATTCTCGTAATAGAAGAAAGAAAATCTCCAGCTAAAATACTCCGTTGTACAATATTATGAATTTTTGTGGCATTAAATGTGACAAAATAATAAAAATAAGATATTTCTTCATCAATCGATCAATTATTCATCTAAAAATATAGATTTTAACTTCCACTTTTATTTTTACTTTTCTTTTTGCATTTATACGGCCTTATTTTTAACCAACTTATTTTCTGTTATACATTTCTTGAACTCTTTAGTTTGTCTATTTATTGCAAATGGGTTTTTTTTTGTTCTGCAACCTTTTTAATTGTTTCATATTTATTCACACCGACATTTTTAAAACATGTTTTTATTTTTGTTTAACACTTACTTACACCACAACATTTTTAAAGCATGTTTTTAATCTACCATAAATATTTACCTTCATTTTATTTTAACATCCTTCTATTTTTGGAACAATGATTTATTTCTGCCTCTAACTTTTCTAACTGTTTTTTTTACCCAAATAACTTTTGCCTGCCCTGTTTTTTTTCCTTCTCCTGTTTTTCCACTTCGTCTATTTTCACCAAATATATGAAACACTAAATCTGCATTCCATAAAACATTATTTGGCCAAATAATGTTTTATTCACCTCCTGCATTGTGAATTGGTCTGAAAACATTCCAGTTTCTCTAAATTAATTAAAAGCTAATTTGATTAGATTCCAAAATCTTCCAGATAAACTTTAGTTTCCAAACACAGAATCCATCTCAAACTATAATATGGTTTTCAACCATGCTTCCTTTACTCTTTGTACATAATAGTTATTCACAACAATCGCCATTAACTGTTTTTATTTAATGCTTGTACAAAAGTCCAAATACTTCATTACTTTACTTACATAGAAATGTTGGATATCTATACTTTACTGCAGTAATTATTGTTTAGACAACGTTTTAGTTTTAATTCTTAAATTTCTTTGCAATTATCTCTACTTTCTACTCCTTACATTTTAAAAATAAATAAAACTTTATTGATCTCACAATGGAGAAATGAACTATCTGCAATTAACCCATCCCCTTTGGGAGCAGTGGGCTGCCATGGTGCAGAGCCCGAGGAGCAGTGTGGGGTTAAGGGTCTTGCTCAGAGAGCCAGAGTGGCGGCGGGTTTCAAACTCACAGCCTCAGGATTCCAAGCTCTATGCCCTAATCACTCTTCACTAACAGACTCCTCAGTTTTGTTTCATTTAATCTAATTTTTGTTGGTAAAGTCTCGTGTTGGTATTGAAAAAAAAAAAATCATCAAAATGATTAGTCAATCCAGATAATTCGTTTCTTTGTGGTTGGACTCGGTGCTGCCCCAACTTGTTGCTCACCACAAACCAAAATAAATAGTTTTTCAAGATAATGCAAAGTTAAATGTGACCATTAGTTATAAAACCCAGAAAATAAAGTCTAAGGAAGTTATTATCCAGAATTGTAGAAAAATGTTCCTCTAATAAGGTAGAGCAGTAAAGCTTCTGGCCTTTACTGGAGTAAAAGGCTGAACTTAATCAGCAGGATTTATTCTGGAGTAATAAATATTAATACTTTTAATTGTATTCCTGTATCTGTTTCTCTCCCCTGACATTATTATTAATTTCTTTTTAATGTTCTTGCTTCGTTAATGAACATGATTTGATATAAAAAAAAAGTAAAAATAAAAGATGACGTATTTTTAATACATATTTTTCATGTTTGTAAAAGTCGCTGTCAATGGAACGGTACGGTGGCTGAGAAGTGCAAAACACATTTACAATTCAAAAACACATTAACAAATAAAAAACAAAATAACATTTGAAGAAACAAAATTATATTTTATGAAACAAATGTATTTTTGAAAAAAAAGTTTACATTTTTAAAAACACATTTACATTTTAGCAAACAAATTTACATTAACAAATAAACAAAATAACATTTGAAGAAACAAAATTATATTTTATGAAACAAATGTATTTTTGAAAAAAAAAGTTTAAATTTTTAAAAACACATTTACAATTCAAAAACACATTAACAAATAAAAAACAAAATAACATTTGAAGAAACAAAATTATATTTTATGAAACAAATGTATTTTTGAAAAAAAAAGTTTACATTTTTAAAAACAAATTTAAATTTTAGGAAACAAATTCACATTTTAAATAAGTTAGATTTTAGGGAGAGAAAGTTTCATTTTAGAGAAAAAAAAATACATTATAGGGAAACAAATTTACATCTAAAAAAAAAAATTGACCGTTCGGAAACACTTGTACAAGTGCAAAGACCAAACTGCAAGTGGCAAAACACATTTACATAGCCAAAAACAAATTAACAAAAGACGGCTACACGGAAAGGGAATGTCCCAGTGGCCGGATGTGACGTCACGATTACCCTGACTTGTAGTACAAACAGCTCAATCTGTAGTCCTCCTGCTTCACGTGAAAAGTCAGCGGTGATTTTAGATGGAAAGAATTGCACTGAAGCTGTTTTTCTTACGTTTACGCTAACCGAACAATGTTTTCAGCCAATTTTCACCATTTTGTTCTTCGTGCGGACGGTCTCTGGAACTTTTACGGGACACGGTACAAGGTGGCAGGACCAAGCAGCAGGGCCGAGCTCAATTCGTGGCAGTGGCTGCGGCAGAGCCTGCCATCGGAGTGGCCGTTGTTGCCCGCTGCCGGCAGAGCTTGCCATCGGCCTCTCCGATGGCAAGCTCTGCCGGCAGAGCCTGCCATCGGAGAGGCCGATGGTGGCCGCTGCCGGCAGAGCTTGCCATCGGAGAGGCCGATGGTGGCCGCTGCCGGCAGAGCTTGCCATCGGAGAGGCCGATGGTGGCCGCTGCCCGGCAGAGCTTGCCATCGGAGAGGCCGATGGTGGCCGCTGCCCGGCAGAGCTTGCCATCGGAGAGGCCGATGGTGGCTGCTGCCGGCCGAGGCCACTTATTCGCAGATAAAGTACTCCGTTCCATCAAGTAAATGTGACATTATAAAAGTTTTAATGCAGTTTATTAAGCAATAACATCACAATAAAAAGAAACCCATAAAGAATACATTTTAATACAGGTTATTAAGCGATAACATCACAATATATAGCCTATATATATATATAAAACAATCTAGTTAGAAGTACTATAAATAAGGCATTTGCCGAAAAACGGCAGGAAAAATACCCAAAAAATAATTAAATACCAAAGAAAAGTAATTAAAAAACTACATGACAAAATAATAGTGGCTCCGGCCAGTAATACGCCCGGCCCTGCTGTTTGGTCCTGCCACCTGGTCCGTGTCCCGTAAAAGTTCCAGAGACCGTCCGCACGAAGAACAAAATGGTGTAAATTGGCTGAAAACATTGTTCGGTTAGCGTAAACGTAAGAAAAACAGCTTCAGTGCAATTCTTTCCATCTAAAATCGCCGCTGACTTTTCACGTGAAGCAGGAGGACTACAGATTGAGCTGTTTGTACTACAAGTCTGGGTAATCGTGACGTCACATCCGGTCACTGGGACATTCCCTTTCCGTGTAGCCGTCTTCTGTTAATTTGTTTTTGGCTATGTAAATGTGTTTTGCCACTTGCAGTTTTGTCTTTGCACTTGTACAAGTGTTTCCGAACGGTCAATTTTTTTTTAGATGTAAATTTGTTTCCCTATAATGTATTTTTTTTCTCTAAAATGAAACTTTCTCTCACCTAAAATCTAACTTATTTAAAATGTGAATTTGTTTCCTTAAATGTAAATGTGTTTTTAAAAATTTAAACTTTTTTTTCCAAAAATAAATTGTTTCATAAAATATAATTTTGTTTCTTCAAATGTTATTTTGTTTTTTATTTGTTAATGTGTTTTTGAATTGTAAATGTGTTCTTAAAAATTTAAACTTTTATTTTTCAAAAATACATTTGTTTCATAAAATATAATTTTGTTTCTTCAAATGTTATTTTGTTTATTTGTTAATGTAAATTTGTTTGCTAAAATGTAAATTTGTTTTTAAAAATTTAAACTTTTTTTTCAAAAATACATTTGTTTCACAAAATATAATTTTGTTTCTTCAAATGTTATTTTGTTTTTTATTTGTTAATGTGTTTTTGAATTGTAAATGTGTTTTGCACTTCTCAGCCACCGTAGAACGGCCTCCGCAGTGTAATGACAGCTTCCCTTCAGCAGGGGTCTATAGTTTGACTCAAACTGATCTGGGATCAGATCTTATTTCAACTCAGCCGATGACCAATCAGGGAGGAGCTGGTCCAGAAACAGTTGGGTTTGGGTTGTTTACGAGGACATTCGAGCGGGGTGGCTTCTGTACGCCTATTCGGTAGAGTCATGAGACGAAACAGCGTCACCGCCCCTCTGAAGTACGCCTGGGATTAAACCAAACAGAAAGAAGGTAAAGTTACAGTCAAAGCGGAGGAATTCTGGTAAAAAGCGAAAGCGGAGCGACTCCTCCGGACTTTACAGCGACCCGCTTTACATGCGAGCAGCGCAGACACCACGGAGCTGCTTCCACACGGCGGGACACCCTGGAAAAGACGGAGAAACCTCAGGAGGATGTCGAGTTTCGAGGACTGGGGCTGAAAGTCGTAACGCCAGGATGTGAGGCGTCCCAGGGGAGAGCGGAGACCGAGGCCGCCGGCGGCAGGATGTTGGTCCGCAGCTCGGTGAGCGTTAGCCGGGTTAGCTGTGTGGGCTGCTGGCGATGTGCTGCGATAAATTACAAACTCTTCTGGTTGTTTATCCGCCCGCTGGTTTCACTGTTAGCGGCTAACTCAGGACAGCGGAACCAGGGCTGCCTTCCGGTGCAGAAGTTGGCTTCTGGTTCGGAGTTGAGCTCCTAATTAAAGGATTATTTTAACAGTTTTAATCCATCTGCTTCAAAATCTACAATACTGACAGGGATTAAACCTGAATGCCAGTGTACAACAGAGGAGATATAAATATTAGTCAATAGAAATAATTATTTTATCATTAAACACCAAAACATGAACATTTTATGGGTTATTTTACATTGACTACATCAACCTGGGCGGGATTATTAATCTATCTGCAGTAAAGTTTTAACTCTGAATGTGGGAAATTTGAAAAAGATGTAGAAGCGGTCATAAAGTTTATATTATGTGAAAGAGTTTTTAATTAACCCTTTAAAGAAGACCAGCTCTGGTCTGGGTTGCTTTCCTGTTGGAGAAGGTTCTCACAAATATAGTACTAGTCCTTATTTAAACACTCACCTTAGAGGTGACCCATCATCACACACCTGGTACCGAAACCAGCCTAACTGGACCGGGTTATTCTGACACATTGAATCCATAATCACCAGGTTATCCTGAGCTATCTCTATAGTTCTGCTGCTATAGGCTTAGACTGCTGGAGGACATAGGGACCCCTTTTTCATCATTCTGCTTCATTCTATCTCTATTCTCCCACTCTGCAGAATCTGTTAGTTCAATCTCTAACGTTCTGCTCTCTCTGCTTTTTCTCATAGTAGCTTCATCTGGTCTGTTCCTGTTTGGCTGTGACTCCATCCTGGAGAGAAATATCAGCTGTGCTGCTGCCATCAACACCTTTGTTTCTAGATGTTGGAGCTTGGCCTGTTTTCCAGTGTAGTCCTGTTTCTCTGACTTTGACTAACTGGATGTGCTCTCTTCATCCTCTGACATGGGACCAGGCTGGTCTCTCAGTTTAAAGCTGCTGCAGCTGAAACGGACCAGAAACAGAACCCTGAATGAACCGGGTTGCTGCTGCAGAAAGCTTAGCTGTATAGTTCAGTGATCAGATGTGACCGATGGACCCGGTTCTGACCCGTACGTGTCTCTGCTCTCCACAGCTGGGTCGGACCCGAGCCAGAGTGACTCACGCCGTGGTGGTGATCTTCCTGGAGTTCTTCGCCTGGGGCCTACTGACCACGCCCATGCTCGCAGTGAGTAAACGGACTCAGCAGAACCGGTTCTGCTCTGGTTCTTGTTTGGGGGGGGTTCTGATGCGTGAGCTCCGCCAATCGGACCTGAACCGTCTGTTTCAGGTTCTGCGGGAGACGTTTCCTCAGCACACCTTCCTGATGAATGGCCTGGTCCACGGCGTCAAGGTGAGACTCGACCCGCAGGCACGTAGCAGGAAGTGGCTCGGTGCTGCAGCCCGAGATAGCAGCGTCGTCATGGTTACCATTTGCAGGAGGAACCGAAGCGGCTCACAGTTTCCCCTCCCCGCGGAACCATCGTCTGCACACAGGAAGTCCGGCTCCTGTCATGACGGATGGTTCTGCTCCTCATAGGGGCTGTTACTGGTTCCTGACCCGGTTCTGCCTTTGATCCCCGGTCCAGGTGGTTTTGAAACGTTTCCTTAAAGGTGAAACGTATTAAAAAGCAAAAGGAAAACAAGCAGAAGGTTCTGTTCAGAATCAGCACTATAGGATGTGCAGAACTCCCAGAATCAGAACATCTGACCGGTTCTGATTCTGGGTTCTCCACGTTTCCTTCGCTCTGGGCCTAAGCTGCTCCTCCTCCTCCACTGCGGCTCAGCATCAGTCAGAACAGAACCAGCTCAGAGAGTCGGACTCCCTGATGGCCTCTGACTGGGCCCTGACCCGGTACCAGCTGACGGTTCTGTTTCCCTGTTCTTCTAGGGTTTCCTGTCCTTCCTGTCGGCGCCTCTGATTGGTGCTCTGTCCGACACCTGGGGAAGGAAGTCCTTCCTCCTCATCACGGTCTTCTTCACCTGCGCCCCCATCCCCTTCATGAAGATCAGCCCCTGGTGAGTCCAGCGCTTCTCTGGCGGTACCAGTTCTGAGTCCAAATGGACTCTAATGGTAGAACTTTTATTTCTTCTGTTGGAGAATCCTGGTTCTGTTAGATGTGTTTCTAGACCCAAACGATGCGTTTACTGAACAGGAAAAAGATCTGATCTGACTAGAGAAAGACCTGGCATTTATAAAATAGATTGTATGCACTGATCTCATTCCCTGGATCGCCGATCGCCCGTTGGCAGTTCAGGGTTGAAGTACAGCCACCGGCCGCCATGTTGGTACTCCCTAGCTAGACCGGTATCAATGTAAACAATCTGCGCTACAGCATCACACAACCATGATGTTCTCATTTTCAGGGACTTTAGACTTTAAAATAAAGATAAATTCATCAGTTTGACACAGACTGGCTGTTTTATAGCATCAGTAGATTAACTTTAACTTAGAATAAAATAAATAGACCCATCACATTGCAGAGTCATTATGAAGTCAATAAATCATGTAATATAACATAATTTACAAATTCATCACAATAAAATGAATGTGTTAATGGAGCAGAATAATACTGATGAGCCAAAAGTGATTAATTGATGATATACATGTAATATACATTTATTTATATATATTTATTTATTTATTAGCGGACCGCTGCCTGGATCCGGACCCAACCTGATTTAAAACATTTATAAATTACCGCATGTTGTCTAACTTCACTTGCGCCTCTTCTCCTGTTAATACGGTAAAGCCCTGGGACAAAACAATAAAATTGCTACTTTTTCAACTTTATTTTGCAGTGACATTTATAGAACTGTCACAAATTAGAATTATATTGTAGTCCTGCTGCCGGCTCAGATGCTCAGGTTCTGTTCTGCTGGAGGTTTGGACCGGGCTCTGGTTCCTGCAGCCTGAACTGAGGATCCAGCCCTGATTCTACAGGAGCTCAAACCGTCACAAGGTTCTCATGTGAGCCGCCTTCCAGCTCCCCCTGCTGGTGGCTGGTGGTTCTGCATGGACCAGCAGAACCTTTAGTTCTGTTCAGAGAAGCTGATCCTGATCCGATCTCATGTCCTGGATGCTCTGAGCTCGCCTGCAGGGTCACTGGTTCCTGTTGTTCTGCTGGAGTTCTGAGCTCAGGCCCGCTTGTTTCTGGGTCATGGAAATGTTTGAACTTTAATTTTATCCAGAGACCCAATAAAACAGAATTTATCTCATCAAGCAAAAGCAGAAAGAATCAAATCTACATGGAAGGTCAGAAGTATTCATACCTCTGTGGTTCTGCTCCTCCTACCTGCTGGGTTCTGGTCTCTGCTGGCGGTTCTGCTGGATCAGAGAGGCTCTTTGCCATCACCCTAACCTTTAGCTCCGTCTCAGATTCTCAGTTAGATTCAGAACTCTGGACTGAGCTGGAAGGGAAGAAAATGTGATCTTTACAACGCAAAAATAGGATAAAATCAGTTAAAAACATTTAATATTATTCAAAAAATAACAATTTTATTTGAAAAAATATTCAGAAATATAAATATCTAAGAAACAGTTTCACTCAAAACCTTTTCCTAGATTAAAAAGTTTGTAAAAGTTTAATTTCCGTTTTGTTTTTTTTTCTTTTTGTTTTTAATTTCTGTTTAAAAAAAACTGTTTTACTAAAGTCAGTCCATAGACGACCAATCAGAGACAGGGTGATAAACGTCATGGATCAGTCCTGTCGACCAATGAGAGGATTTGGACAAAATGGTTCTGTAGACCGGTTCTGTAGATCATCTGACACCTTGGTGGACCTGGTTCTGTCTCTCAGGTGGTACTTCGCTCTGATCGCCGTCTCAGGAATCTTTGCCGTTACCTTCTCCGTGATCTTCGCCTACGTCGCTGACATCACTGAGGAGCACGAGAGGAGCGCCGCCTACGGACTGGTACAGAAAGCCAATCGGATCGCTCGGTGTCTGTGACATCACTGGAGTTCTATTAGAAGCAGCTAAATCATTTCTGTTCAATTTGTCCTTTTTTTTTTCCGTCTTAAACGTCCAAATGAGATCTGGGAATTTAGCAGGAAGTGACATCATCACTTTAAATTGATTTACAAACTAATGGAAAGTTAAAGTCTGCCCCCTGCTGACAGGAAGTGGACCCTGCAGAGTTTCTGCAGATGAGTCCATGAGCTCCAGAACCAGAACCGCCATCAGAACCTTATCTCCTTCCCCTCCTAGGTGTCCGCCACCTTCGCCGCCAGCCTGGTAACGAGCCCGGCCATCGGCGCTTACCTGTCGTCGCGCTACGGGGACAGCCTGGTGGTGCTGGTCGCCACGGTGATCGCGGTGGCTGACATCGCCTTCGTGTTCTTCCTGGTTCCGGAGTCTCTACCGGAGAAGATGAGGCTGTCGTCGTGGGGGTTCCCCATCTCCTGGGCCCAGGCCGACCCGTTCGCTGTGAGTCCGTAGAACCCATCAGAACCTCGGGGTTCCGCCGTGGCTTTCCTAACGTCTTCTGGTTTGGTTCCAGTCTCTGCGTCGGGTCGGGAAGGACTCCACGGTGCTGCTGATCTGCGTCACCGTCTTCCTGTCCTACCTGCCTGAAGCGGGCCAGTACTCCAGCTTCTTCCTCTACCTGAAGCAGGTAAGACGCTTCTCTGTGATCCCAGCCCTGAACCTAGCAGCAGAACCGTCCCCCACGGCCGCTGCTGGTTGGATCAGAACATTCTTGTTTCTCTTCCTGAACTCTGCTGCTGGACAGCAGACAAGATAGAGAAGAGCAGGAGGCGGGGTTACCAATCTACTCGCTCTGGAGAGCAGAGTTCGCTGCTTTTAGATGTTGTCTCCAAAGTCTCCAGTAGCAGAAAAAAGTCTCTAGATTTGGCGCTAGGAGCTTTTTAGAAATCAAAGTGCTAGAGGGGTCTGAAAAGTGGCTAAATATAGCGACTAAAGCGCTAAGTTGGCAACACTGCTCTTTGCATGGTTTGTTTTCAAATGGTTTGCTGCTGTCTGTTTGGACCTTTCTGAACATGTGCAGCAAATGGACTGATCCAATATGGTGGACACTGAGGGGGGGGGCTGAGACACACTTAATATTATCAGCGTTCTGATGGCATTTTAGCGAAAGGATTTTTATCAGAAACATAATTAATGTGCACAAATAAGGAATAGTTGTATTAACCGTACATGGAAACAGTTTTATTGGACCCCAGGAAAGCCTAGTTTTGCCTAATGGTAACCCCACCCCCCCCACCCCCCTGTGCTGCGAAGGGGGACCAGGGTTATTCCCCCCCTGAAAATTTTGACTATTTGAAACGCTATTTCCTGTATTTTGAGGTAGAAAGCAGCTAACCTTTTGTCTTTGCTCCAACACACTTTAATCCTGATTATGGGAAGGATGTGAGATTAACTAGAGCTGGAAATTTAATAAGGAAGACATGAGATCATTTATAGCTACAATATGATGTTTTATAGGTTAATCCTAACAATCAGAAAGGGTAATGCTACGTTCACACTGCGATTTAGCAGCAGAAAAAAGTAGTTTGAATCTATGTTGAAGGTTTTCCCCTACTGTTGGTGGCGGCTGCAGTAGATGTTAGCGTTTTTAGGGTATGTGTTACAAATTTCAGGCACCTGGATAATAAAAACGAAGATGTTGGCCAAGCTCCAACATCTAGAAACAAAGGTGTTGATGGCAGCAGCACAGCTGATATTTCTCTCCAGGATGGAGTCACAGCCAAACAGGAACAGACCAGATGAAGCTACTATGAGAAAAAGCAGAGAGAGCAGAACGTTAGAGATTGAACTAACAGATTCTGCAGAGAATAGAGATAGAATGAAGCAGAATGATGAAAAAGGGGTCCCTATGTCCTCCAGCAGTCTAAGCCTATAGCAGCAGAACTATAGAGATAGCTCAGGATAACCTGAGCCACTCTAACTAGAAGCTTTATCAAAAAGGAAAGTTTTAAGCCTAGCCTTAAAAGTAGACAGGGTGTTTGCCTCACGGACTGCGCTGTGACATAATCAGCCTTCAAATCTGGCCTTCAGAGGACGCAGCACATGAATTCAAACAGAGCGTATATCTCTTGGGCCTGGCGTCCCCCCCAGAGCAGCTGGAGGAGGTGTGTCTGGATCTGGAAGTCTGGGCATCTTTGCTGAGACTGCTGCCTCTGTGACCCTGTGAATAAAGAGGAAGAAAATGGATGAAGTTAATTTAGGCTTTAATAAACAGTTTCAGAGGAGTGATCATAGCGCTCTGCATCAGCAGTGCTGCGTCTGACTCCCTGCCAGCTCCCAGATCAGCTTCTCTCATTGGTTGATGCAGAGCGTCCAGCAGCTAAAGTTACATTTTTCTAACTCCAGCATCGGCTGCTTTTCAAAATGTAAATATTTGAACAAAGTTTCCACAGGAGAAACGCGGCTTACTACTTATTTTTTCAGTAAAGGCCGTAAGTCATCATGTCCAGATTGGACTCGCTTGATGAGATGAATGGAGTCTGATGCTGATGCTTGGTTGGAAAGAAAACCTGCAGCCACACGGCCCTTTCTGGAACCACTTTGACTCCCCTGACTTAGAGCCTGTGTTGCCAAACGAGGCTTTATAAGACTTTTACATTTTTGCAGCTCCAGACAGATTAGTTTTTTGGCTCTTTGAGCAGTTTGGGTTGCCGGCCCCTGTCCCACAGCGTGCCGATCAGAGCCGAGGAGATTTTAAGGCGGGTCGTTTGACACAAGTCAGTGAATGTTCCCACTGCCACTCAAAGCTAATTGTTCATGTTTTCGGGCCTCTGATGCAGCTTTAGGTGTTTTTAACCCTGAATCAGGTGCATTCGCTGTTTACTGTGCGTTTTATTTGGTTATTGATGGCGTTTTGATTAACAGTCTGCAGGTTTTAAATCCGATTAATAAACGAGCCTAAATGTCTTCACAAGCTAAAGAAAATCTGCATCCAAACACCATCAGAGTGGAACCTGCAGGCGGCCTCTCGTCTCTTCCTGGAATCTCCTGGGTTTTCCATCCTAACGGCTCCGTTTCCTCTTCCAGGTGATCCAGTTTTCCCCTGCAGCCATCGCTGCCTTCATCGCCATGGTGGGAGTCCTCTCCATCGTCGCTCAGGTAGCGCTGCGGACCATCTGGGCCTCGGTTCTGGAGGTTATTTAGCGACTGGCAGAACTTAGAAACTAAACGGGATCCGTCTCTCTCTCCCATCAGACCGTCTTCCTCAGCATCCTGATGAGGACCATCGGGAAGAAGAACACGGTTCTGCTGGGTCTGGGCTTCCAGCTGCTGCAGCTGTGCTGGTACGCCTTCGGCTCCGCGCCGTGGTGAGTCCCTGCTCCGTTCCCGTCTTCCCTATAAACCCCCTGGTTCTGGTTCTGATGTGGTTCTGTCCCTGCAGGATGATGTGGGCAGCAGGAACCATAGCTGCCATGTCCTCCATCACCTTCCCAGCAGTCTCTGCTCTGGTTTCGCACAACGCAGCCGCCGACCAGCAAGGTGAGCTCAGCGGGTTCCGTTCCCGCCCCGTTCTCCTGTCCGACCAGAACCGGTAGCAGAACCTTGAGTGCTGCTGTGCTGTGTGTCCAGGTGTGGTTCAGGGGATGATCACGGGGATCAGGGGTCTCTGTAACGGTTTGGGTCCGGCTCTCTACGGATTCATCTTCTTCCTGTTTGATGTGGAGCTGACCGACGTGCAGCCGGCCACAGGAAGAGGAGAGCAGAGCGCACAGGTAACCCTGACCCCATCGGACCTTTTTACAGCGGCACCTGTTAGGGTCCAGAGATCAGAACCTGGACTGGATCCTGACCGAGAATCAGAACCAGGATCTGATGCTTCCAGGAGGCATCAGGTGGAGTTTAGCTAACCTCAGGCTAAAGTTCAGGCTGATGGACGCCAGCAGGTGAATAATCCACCTCCTCATCACGTAGTTCTCTTCTGAACCAGGAGGTGGCAGCAGTGACACTGTTAATTGAAGTAATTCAACTTCAAGTTTTCCTTGTAAATAAGTAAACTGACTAAATCACTGCAGTGAATGTCTGTAATCGAAGCTAAATACGACAGAAACAGAATTCAAGCTGTTTTCAGACCATTTAATACCACATTATCACAGCAGCAGCAAAATAAAAGCCTCACGCCTTAAGAATAAAGTTGGGTTATTTTCTAAATATCAAGCTATCTCTCTTTTTATACCAGCCGTCAGGCTAGCTGATGGCTATGCTAGGGAACGGGACAGCACAGTCCTTTTGGACCCTTCATCTACATCTACCTCAAGTATTTCTATAAAAGAAAAGGTGTTTTCTCCCTAATACCAGCTAGCCGATGCTACACTTTAAAATCCCATTGATAAACTCGTTGCTTCTTCCCAGGCTCTGAATGGGCGTCATGCTTCTGCTTTTCCGCTCCTGGACCTGTTCCAGACTCAGCCTCAGCTTATTTTTAATATTTACTCCTAAAATCTCTCAAGCCTTTGGTTTCATCTTTCCTTCTTTTCTGTGCGCAAGACTTTTGAAAAACCTGACATAGTTTACTGCCAAACAAACAAACAAACGTCTGTGACATGATGTAGAGTTCTCTGAACATTGCAGCCGCCTGATGGGGAAGAAGCTGTTGCAGAATCTGCTGGTCCTGCATCGGGTTCTGATCCAAACATCAAGATTAATGTTCTGGATTGTTTTTTTTTTTCTCCTGAAAAGTTCAAACGTTAAGTTCTTCCCATCCTGGTTCTGTCTGCAGAGATCCGTTATCCCAGGTCCGCCCTTCCTGTTCGGAGCATGCGCCGTCATCCTGGCTCTGATCGTCGCCGTCTTCATCCCAGAGAACCTCCGATCCGTCGACGCCAAGAACCAAACGGCCAGCAAGCCGGCCCACGGCTCCACCGCACACGCCCAAAACGGCGGCACGCCGACCACGGCCACCAGTGACGCCGAGGACATCGAGCCGCTCCTGCAGAACAGCAGCATGTGACCAAGCGGCGGGCCAATCGGCAGCTCCGGTTTAACTCCAGGTTTCTGTACCTGAGCGGCCATATTTATCCGCCAGCGTAGCTTCACTCGCCCTCCTCTGATTGGCCGCCGTACTGCTGCGGCGAGCCTAAGGGGTATGTTCAGTCTGGAGGGACCGAGAACACGTCCCGCCTCAGCATCTCCATCGCCAGGAGGTTTCCCTCCTGGTAACCATGACGACCGCCTCCTGGTAACCCGGAGGGAAGCATTAGAACTGGTTCTGCTGCTTTCAGGTCCACTTTTCCAGATCCTGATGGGTCCTGGTGGTAATGTCTCATCATCATCTTCATCATCATCAGTGTTTTTTTGGGTCTGAAGTCGGACCCGACCTAATCAGGGGATCAGAACCAAATGGTGCCTTTTGTTTTTTTCTTTTGCTTTTTATCTTTAGACTGAAACATTCCTAACCCACCCGTTACCATGGTTACGGCCAGGGGAGGCTGTATCCTAGCAACGTTTTTACATCAGTTCAACTACAGGTGATGGATGTTGGAGGAATCGGGTCACAGCCTAGCTGTTATTCTGGGTCAGAACCGTCACAACCTCATCAGGCCTGTCTTTGGCTTTAACTTGATTTCATCAGATTGTTCCAGAACCTTCCGTGTGGTTTATGGGGTCCGGCTGGAGTCCGTGTTGCTGCTGCTGGAGGCTTTTCATCAAACTAAAGGTTCTGTAGAACTTCCAGATCCGTTTGGGTCAGCAGTACCACCTGACCTGGTTCTGGTCAGGTGGTACTTGGACTTGTTCTGGAGCTGAAATCAGAATTTTTTTACTTTATTTCAATGCTTAAAAACTGCTGCAGCTCTGACCCGACCCGGTAGCATCGGTACCGTCCAACATGTTCCTGAAGCAGCTTGGAAATATGCAGACGTTCCTCCTCCCTGATGCAGAAGCTTTGCTGCACTTTAGTTTCTCTAAAGGTGCCTCTTATTGTCCTTCATGTTGGTCTGTTTTTATAGAAACTCGTTGTTTGAAGTTACTGTTTTATCTGAGTTTGAATATCTATGATGACGAGAATAAAGACAGAAGTTTGAACTCTGTTTGTTTTTCTTTCCATTTGATGGAGAAACAAGAAACTGAAGCAGAAACCAGAACAGAACGTCTATTATAACCCACAAAAAAACTATAACCAGAAATAAAAGGATGGGATATTTTAGAAGATTTAATAACAGAAACTGAAACAAATCAAAATTTTTGGATAGAAGCTTTTTTTAAAAAAAAAGAAATTTACTCTGAAAATCTAAACTTCTGTTTATTTTAAAGGAAAAGTCGCTCATATTCAGAATTCAAACTTCTGAAAGTTCTTTAAATCTGAAATGATTCCATCCTGTTCAATAAATGATCAGTGTTTTTAATTCAGAGTAATTTTCATGTGAATGTGCTTTACTGGAGGCATCCATGTTTGTCAAAGAACACTACTGCCACCTACTGGTTAGTGACGTCACGGTGCGGTATCGGCTGTTGATCAAGTCCCAGTGCTGTATCTGGTGTTTGTCACAACGCGCTATTATCCAAGTCATCTTGAAAACATTCTTCTTCCAAATGTTGGCTACATATTACGGGTTTTTTCTCTGGCCAGAAGTTCGATGGCAAATCCTCCCTCTTCAAGTTGGCGATCCAACGACCAACCCGTCCGTGGAGGATCAGGAATCAGAAAGGTGGAATAACTCTTTTTTTCACTTTTCCCCGATGTATTCCAGCATCCAGCTGCCATGCACGTGGGCATTGTCAGTTTCACTATAGCTCTGGTGAATTTCAATGGTGAAGTCCTCTGGAAATCTTCAATAATTGTTGTTGATTGCAGATGTGTCTAGTAGTTCCCATTGATTTAGCTTGGAAAGCGGGGAGAATGGCGCTAGGCTTACCGCACCGTGACGTCACTGCTGGAAGATGGCAGGAGGGAGGGGCTACTATATTTGGGCAAAAATGGCCGCTCCCAGACTCAGTGGTTGAGACGAAATTTGTTTTTTATTTATTTATTGATTAAAGCTAAATTCATGAAATCACCGCGATGGTATTAGTCTTCGGTATAAATATGATCCATTGATTATTCCTGCTGACGGGACTTTTCCTTTAAAGCTTCCATATTATTCTACAGTCAAAAATAAAAGTATGAACACTGAGACCGTCTGTGCAGGAAATCCTCAGATTGGATGAAAACTGACCCAGAAATCTGGAGTTTAGAGCCTTAAACATGTTCAGATTCTAACAGCATTCCACGTTAAAATCAAAACTCCAAAGCTTTACAATCGTTTGTCTGCGTGTTTAATTAGAAATGAGACGTCATGTTTCGATCTGATCGGATTCATCCAGGAGCCGATGGCGTTTTCTGTCGTCTGGATCAGGTTTCAGAATCTCAGTCTGAAATGATTTCAGTGTCTCTGCTGCTGAGCCACCTTATCATGATACTGCCACTCCGTGCTCCACTGCAGCGATGGTTCTCAAACACCAAGTATCTCTTTCATTCTTCATAAATCCTTTACCAAAATTTAAGATTATGAAATTAAAGCAATGGAAGAACAGTTGTTAAACATCGGTGTGAAGTTGAGGAGAAAATGAGACTCTTGCAAGAGAATGTTCAAATTTATTTAACGTCCTCAGACGGAGAGATAGAGCTCTGACTTTTGCAAACTCAGTACAAACATTTATACAGCAACGCCCAATACACACACGCTCCCTTGGAACTATCCCATCCCTACATAAAGCAATTTCTCACACTTGAAAATTTGGTTATTCCTAAGAAAGAACACAAGAACATCCGTTTTAGTCAGATAAACATTCAGAACAGGTTTCCCGTTGTGTGACTCATCCCTCCTTCACCTCCTCTAGAGTCGGGAGGAAAAAGGGTGAAAAAAACACTCAAACATTTACTGGAAGCTAAAAAAAAACTGAAGGAAAGATTTCAGCCTCGGAAACTTCTGGATGAAGCTTCAGTCAAACACAAAATTTTTAGTTTTTAATAAAAACAAACAAAAAACACTTTAAAAAACTTGTATTTAAACTTCAACACCTAGGTCATGTAGATGCTACAAAAATACTCTTGAAACCTAAAAAAATGATTCTGCTTTTTATCCATTTGGTCAGAACTTTTATTTCAACCTAAATATTTAGATTTTTCTGTTCAAACTCAGCAGAAAACAAACCCAACCCTAAAACCGCTTTACTACAGCTGATTTATTTCAGTTTAATAAAAATCTAAAGCTGCAGATTTAGAGATTTATTTTTTTTTATTTTAAATGAAGTTTTTTTTAGATTTTAAAAACTTCAGAAAACAAAAAGTGTGAGAAGAAACGGGAAGTTATTCCATTAACTTAATCTCAAAACCAGTTTTAAAGTAGTTCTAAAGAACTTTCAGTTTTGGTTGATTTTGACTCCCCCCAGTGGACAAAAGCTGTATTGTTTCCCATGAGGAACATTGCATAGCATGGTAAAATCCTGAGCTCTGGTCTCCTGCTGTTGGGTTCATCATTTCTGTTTCCAGTGCCTGACAGATGGGCAGCGATGAGGTCATGAATTTATTACCCTTTACCCACTGGGGAAAAAAACAGTTTAAACGAATCGGCTTTTAGTGGCAGTGGGAACAGCTCACTGACGCGTGTCTATTGGGGTCAAACAACACGGCAAACCTGTGTTAAAACTGGCTCGGGTCGGCATGCTGTGGGAACACCAGAGCTGAATCGATCCACTAAATTACGTGATACCATTGAACGCAGCATACGAACGTCAGCACACCGCGCCAGTCGCCTCTGATCTAACGAGCAGAATCAACTCTGTTTACAATCGATAAACATGGAGCAGCTCTGGTGAGACGGATTCAGACAGATAATAGTCAGAAACAATAAAGCACACTGACCTCGCCCTGGCTTCCTTCCATGTTGCTCTCCATTGTTTCCTTCCCTGATTCCTGTCGCGCCGGCTACATCATCATGGTTAACCCAGCGTGATGATGCAGCGGCAGGGGGACAGAGGCCACGCAGCTGCCAGCGAGGGGTTAAGGGCTGGTTATCCTCCCGCAGCAGCGTGTGGCGGTTAGCTTGTCGCAGGTTTGATGCAGATATTTTTGATTTATGCCCAAATTTGAAGCGTGGTCTGTGTTATATTATTCCACGCCACAACGCCAGAGGGACAATCATGAACTAGCTTTGATAGTGGGTGTCCGTGTCGGTTTGACGAGCTTGTTCGCCGTCTACAACCCCTCATCCAAACCCAGACGACACACAGTTCACCCGTGAGTGTTCCCCAGAGACTGGCCGTGGCGCTGCGCGTTCTGGCTTTGGATGCAAACCAACAGACCGTCGCTCAGAGCTACAAACTAGCGTCCTGCACGATGTCTGGGATAGAGTCTGAGGTGTGCCAGGCGCTGTGGACGGCGCTACAGCCAGAGTTTCTGCCATTACCCACAACAACCAAGTGGGAAAACATCGCGGCTGACCAGTGGAGATTGTGGAACTTCCCAAATTGAATCGACCAATCAGAAATCAGAGACCTCCTGTCTGCAGCACTGTCTGCGGTCACCTACAATTTTGGGGAGGTGCACCTCAGTGTCTGCGGAAGGGTGGTGGTATATCTGCGTTAACTACGACTAGGGGTGTAAATAATGATCGTTTTGTATCGATGCATCGATCCAACAGCCGACGATCCGATGCATCGATACGTCCGCAAGAGAATCGATTCATGTTTTTTTTCCCTCCGGTCTATTTTTATCCATTTGCTCCTGGGTGTAATTCTCCCTCCCGTGCTGCGGTGGCGCTAAACCTATTTTGCCCTCCTACCTCGCTTCCTGGTTATACTCTTACAGCAGTTTGTTGCAGTGAGCTTGATGCAGACATTTTTGATTTATGCTCAGTATTGCAGCGTGGTCTGTGCTACACGCTGTGGGTCTAGATACGGCCGAGGCGGCGAGGAAGTGGGGGCGAGTTTAGTCCGACGACGGAGGGACATGAGGGCCAAAAAGAGCGGAGATCCAGGTGGAAAAAGGGTCCCAGCGTTCTAACGAACCTCGCTCTTCTAGCGGGTCAAACTTCACGAGTTGTTTTCCATAATTTCGGTCATAAAAACAAATCAAGCCGGCCTCCTGTCTGCGGTCAGCTACAATGTGGGGGAGGAGCAGTGGAGCGTCTGTGGAGGGGGCGGGACGTCTGGAGCCGAGGTATTGCTTTGAACTCATTGCACTGATTTTATGCAGTATTTTCTGATGCAAAGCCTTTCAGAATCTATATTATTATTATTTCAGTGAATGAGGTTTTAATAGGAAAATGTGGAGTAAAACTTTTCTACTTCTGTTATTTGCTGCTGTTTCTCAAATAAAAAGCATAACGATATTACAGCTTTCATTGATTTATTTCGAATTTGAAACATTGTCTAGCCTGTAAGGTGTAAAAAAAAAATCGTATCATTGTGTATTCTTGAGTATCAAAAATAATCGAATCGTTGGGTCAGGAAATCTGAATCTGAATCGAATCGCCATGATGGATGTGATTTACAACCTTAACTACGACGCAGACGACCTGGTTTCTGAGCATACAGCAGGCTGCAATCCCAGCTTTTTATGCCTGTGGGAAGGAGGCCAGATGCCGGTCGTTAGGGAGGCGACCCATGTTTGAAAAACATGCGTTAACCTGCTACTTCCAGTGGGAAAGACTCTTTAGAAACGTTTAACTCTGGTTTTGTATCGTATTCCTGCACTCCTGCCACCCAACAGAAATGTTTAGAGCCTTGACACAGATAAATATGTTTGATCATTTCCCAGTAAACACGTATAGATCCCAGCAGGAAGGAGACGCATCACCCGAATATCAACCCTGCACAGTTTCTGGAATATCCAGCCTCCAGGAAAACTTTATGCCTTTGGAACGGATGGAGGAAGTAACGTATGCCGTGAAGAGGTCTGCACATCTGGAGGTGTTCTGTGTGGCAGAGTCACTGCCATCCTCCTCAGAGTCCCTTAGTGATGGAGCAGGTGGTGCAGAGCAGCTACAGCCATGCAGAGAGCTCAGTCTACTAGATGGAAGTTAATGTATATCACAGAAGTTATG